TTCAACACGCTCCCAATTTCGTCAAATTTCATCTCGAATTAATGCATACCGCAATTCACCCATACCATATCTTGCTCGTCTACTCAAACACGGAGCGAACAATGAGTGAACTTTGTCTTAACCTTGGATTATGAATGTGTTCATGTCTGTGAAAATTTTTCTCCCCGTTGATTATGTACATTGTGACGGTTAGCATGTATGCTTTTTAACTGAAATGTGAGCTCCAGTGCTTGCAAAAGTTATACACAATACAATACAATACAATTCTAGTTCAATAGTTGTGGAGTTCCTACTTGATAAAAAAACGTCACCGGAAGTCGATCCTTTCAACAATAGAGTACCGAGTTAAATCCTGTTTGGTTACAAGAAGGCAAATAATGGCGCGAAGAGAAAAAACAATACAAAAGAGAAAGCGCGTATGTCTGTACAGCGGACAGAGAATTTGACATTACAGAAAAAGCGACATTATCGACCAAAACTTTCGCTATGACACAACACTTCTTGATTAACGAGGACCTTGTCTAATCAAACTAAGTTTTCAAGTACCTTGGTTCTACAACCAGACTAAACAGGCGGATTAAGGATGAAATCCCACTTCCCGTAGATGGATCTATAAGAGTCTTCCTACATCTCAAACCGTTGTGGAACCGATATGAAATAAGCCTAAACAGGCTTCAATCCACCTCTTCCTCGCTTACGGTTGTAAAACATGACGGCTAAGATAGAACTGTCTTTCAGAACGACCTAGCTGAAAAGCTAGAATCAACACCGCTCGATGACGTTAGCCAGCACTGGTTGGTTATCAAGAATGCTTTGCATTCTGTTGGCATAGTTGGTTGTGGTCTGCCACGTCGTACCGCGACACCCTGGATTTCAGCGGAATCTCTACGCCTTCACGACGCACGCCGATCAATCCCGACCGGCAACGAGCATAATAAAATACGACGAGCAACGAGTCATAACCTGAACGTAAGCCTACGCAGAGACCGTGAGATCTGGTGAACTCAACGCACGTCAAAGATGGAATATGTTGCCGCCATGGGAAATTTCATCAAGCTGCTCCATCTCATCCGGGCCATCGATGGGAAAGCCTTGGGTGTGAGCGAGACGATCTACGAGGCTGACGGTTCGCCCGTTTACAATCAACAGCGATGTCTTACACGCTGGACGGAGCAATTAAAAGCACGGTTTAGCTGGCCACCATGCGCTGGGCTCCGATGGCCTTCCTCTGCTCGGTTATCGTCCATCTCTTAAAAAGGGCCAGCGCGGCGACTGCGCCAATCATAGGGGCATAAGCCTGATCCCAATAGCGTCAAAGCTGTTGGCGTCCGTCATTCTTCGCAGATTGTATAAAACGCGCGAGGAACATGCCCGCAAGGTGCAAGCTGGGTTTCGTGCCAGTTGCGAATGCATTGATCAAATCTTCACCCTCCGACAGCTGCTATAGCACCGTCACGCCTACCAAAGACCAACGGTCATTGTATTTTTAGACTCTGTCGATAGGACCGCACTATGGAACTGTTTGTTGAGGAATGGAGTACCCGAGAAGTATGTGTCGATCTTCAAAGAGTTGTATCGTCATACCTCAGGTCGGATCAGGGCTTATGGTCAGCTTTTGCCACCCCTCGACGTCTCCAGTGGAGTTCGACAAGGCTGTCCCAAATCCCCTTTTCTTTTCGTCATAGAGCACGTTCTGCAGAACGCTTTGCCCGGTTTAGCAGACGCCGGAGTCGAATTCGCCTTCCAAACTGGGACCCAAGAGATGAGGATTGTCGTCGGTTAAAGATACTGAGAGATATGGCCCAGA